AAAAAAAAAAAAAATCCGTACGGGACTCGTTGATTCACTGTATGGGACTCGCCGATTCCGTACAGTGAATCGGCGAGTCATTGTGCAGAATCGTTCGGTTCTCTCTAGAACCGGACGATTCCCGTTTTTTTCGCCGATTCGATCCGTCCATGGCGATTCTCGAGTCGAACCGGGCTAGTCCGGTTCGACTCGACGTTTTTTTAAACACTGGGAAAAAGTTTTAAAAAGATTACTAAAAATCCCTCGCTTTTTAGACCTTTTTACCCCGACTCTAACCTCTCTTTACTTTTTTTTAAAAAAAAAACTAACTTTCTTTACTAAAACCCCCCAACTGAAAAAGGTGTCTTTTTTTTTTGTCAAAAATACCCCTTCCCGTACTTTGAACGTGTAATCAAATCCTGTAGGTGGACCCCAATTTTCATTAACACCGGACTGCGATTATTATTCCTTGGAGTGCTTATGAGAAAACAATATGCCAGATCGAATATCTAAAACGCCAGACTGAAGTGCCTGTGTATCCAAGAAACATATCAACGGAGTGCTTCTTAGTTTTTTCGGTACACGTTTTTTAGATTTTGGACTGACTATTAACAATGAATTAATCTCTGAAGTGAATTAAAAAATAGCCGGAGTGCTTTTTAGTTTTGCCGGAGCACTTTTTACAGATACCGGACTGCTTTTTTACAGTGAACTAATCTCAGGAGTGCTTTTAGCAAATGTCAGAGTGCTTTCTAATGTTGTCATAGTGCATTTTACAGACGTCGGAGTGCTTAATTAACAGTGAACATTCTCCTCTGGAGTGCATTCAGAAAATGCCGGAGTGCTTCTTAGTTTTGCCGGTGTGCATTTGTTAGATTCTGAACTGCCTATTAACAATGAATCAATCTCTGGAGTGGATTCAAGAAACGCTGAAGTGATTTTTAATTTTGCCAAAGTGCTTTTTACAAGTGCCGGACTGAAGTGAACTAATCTCCGGAGTGCTTTCAGAAAATGCTGGAGTGAGTTATAGTTTTGTCGGAGCGTGTTTCATAAATGTCAGACTGTGATCTCTGGAGTGTGTTAAAAAAATGGCAGATCCCCCAAAAATGGTCCAAGTTCTTGGTTTGTTCCTTCATTCTTTGTTTGCTATAAATACTGATTTTCTTTCACCAAACAACATTCTTTCTCTCTCTAGAAAACATATGTGCTATGTGAAATGTCTCTCTCTAGAATACTTCTATTACACGAAATCTCCATCTTTCACTCTCTAGAGTACCTTTATTGTGCGTTTCTCTATCTAGAATACCTCTACATTGTGCAAAATCTCCCTCTATCTCTCTCAAATACATAACACTCTCTCTCTTCTCCTCTCTCTCTAGAATACTTGGGTTGAAATTTCATCCGTATGTTATTTATTTTGCCTACAGAGAAATAGAGATTCGATTAGTGTGAGGAAGCCAATGGAGAGAGAAACAAATTCGTAGAGAGGAAAAACCGTGAGGAAGCTACTAGAGACGGAAATCTGGTGGAAAAAAGAGGTGAGGAAGAAGCCGAGGAAAATAGAGAAAATCGTGAGAAAGAAGCCGTGGTAGTGAAGGAGAAAGCCTTGAGCATGATGAAGATGCCGTGAGGAAGAAGCCGAATGAGGAAAATAGAGGAATGAGTAAAAACCAAGGTTCGTCAAGAAAACAGAGTAAATGGGTTAACGGGAGGTGTAACCGGTAAAGGTCAAAATTGAGGTAAAATTATCTTTAACTCCTATTTTTTGGGTTGGGGGGTTAGTAAGGAAAGTTGATTTTTTAAAAAGAAGAGTAAATAAATGTTAAGGTGGGGGTAGAAAGTTTAAAAACTCATTTTGAAGGATTTTTAATAATTTTCCCAAAAATTTATACGAGTACACCCCCAATTTTGGAAGGTAAGATTTATATGTCCAAATGCTTGACCCTAAAATTTTGGAACTGATAAAGGGCCATACATCAAAAGTCATTATCGTTTGTTTAAAAAAATATATCTTTTACAGAGAACTTAATCATTAAGTAATTATATATTTAAAATATTCACAAAAATACAATAGTATTTTATAAGAAAAAGTTTATATAAGTGCTAGGAGCTGAACAATCAAATTAGGGCACACCTCAAAAATTTCACTAAAGGTTGCTGTAATACTCAAATATACTCAAATTGATCATCTGGACCTCTAGAGGCATGGACATGAGAAAAAAATAGATTTCAAGTTTTGGAAATAGTGCATCTTGTAATGCATTTTTGGACTAACAATTTTCAAGATTTTCAAGTTTTCATAGATTTGCTCGATCTACACTAGTTTTTAAGCTTTAAATTTTATAATTAGAGATGAAAATGTATTTTAAGGCTATCACAAAGAATTTCAGTATTGAAACCACATTTCTCAATACTATTTCAAGTTACGCTTTTACTTTGATTGTTTAGAGCCTTGACTCCATACAAACCGCACCATATATTTATAAGGGAAAAAGTTTATATAAGTTTGAGGCTCTAAATAATCAAACTAGAGCGTACATCAAAAAATTTTCACTAAAAGAGGTTATTATGATGCCCAAATATCCTCAAATTGATCATCTCGAACTCAAGATGCGTGAACATAAGAAAAAAATGGATTTCAAGTTTTGAAAATAGTGCATTTTGTAATACATTTTTGGACCATCAATTTTTAAATTGTTAAGTGTCCATAGATCTGTTTGATCTACACTTTTTTTTAAGCTTTAAATTTTATAACTAGAGTTGAAAATATATTTTAAGGCTATCACAAAGATTTACAGTAATGAAACTGCATTTTTCAACACCATTTGAAGATGCGTTTTACTTTGATTGTTTAGAGCCTTGGCTCTATACAAACCGCAACTTTTTTTATAAGTTAGTATCTTAAAAACAAATATTATTATTTGGTAAAATTTTCAACTTTACCTTTTAAATACTACTTAAATGTTAGTGATAATTGTTAAATTACATGTTATATCTATCTCTCTATATAGAAAAAAGTTTATATAGAGCTGAGACTCAAACAATCGAATTAGAGCCCACCTCAAAAATTTCACTAGAATAGGTTGTTTTGATGCTCAAATATTTTCAAATTGATCATCTCGACATCAAGATGAATGGAAATGAGAAAAAAAATGGGTTTCAAGTTTTAGAAATAGTGCATCTTGTAACGTATATTTGGATCGTCTATTTTCAAGATTTTCAAGTTTTCATAGATATGCTAGATCTATACTATTTTTTAAGCTTTAAATTTTACAATTAAAAATAAAAATATAATTTAAGGTTATCATAAAGATTTACAATATTGAAACACATTTCTTGACACAATTTGAAGGTATGCTTTACTTTGATTGTTTAGAGCCTCGGCACTATACAAACAGCACCGCTCTATATATACTATATTATTAAGCGAGAGTTAAGGGGTAGACACATGTCATGAAAATAAGGAGCCTAATTGTATAAAGATTGCAGGGGACATTCATATCTTTAAAAGAAAAGAGAGATCGAATAGACATTTATTTTAGAACAACTAAATTTGATGTATATATATATATATAGTCGTGGGAGGCGAAGGCACACGAGGGGATAGG